CATCGAAATGGCTGGCCTGCTTGACATTCAAAAATAGGTATGAAACTTTTTTTTCACGACCAAGTGGACCCCCTACCCCCCCTCCATATAAGGAAATTTCTTATCTTGGTACCCCCTTGGTAGGAGCCCTCGGGTGCCTCCTTCCTCTTGGAACACAACCAAAGGATATACCGGCTCGCCTGGAGGCGTATCAGGCCCTCTGTAAACCGCGCGGCGATTTCATAAGAGTTACTCCGGCAGCGGATTTGGATTTGGATTTGATGGGGTGACAATGTCCATGACAGTACCGTTACGGACACGATTATCGTGATTTAATCAATCTCTCAGCATGCCTCTGTCCAATCTCAACCCTCGGGAGACTGCCAGATGGGTTACCTTGCTCATAGTGGCTCTCCTGCAGTATATTGTACTTGGTGTGGGGCTCTATGTTTATCCCCAGTACTGCAAGACAGATCTACATACCTCTGCACTGTCTGGCCGTGCTTGGCTTGACGAACTTCTGTCAGGCCATCCAGACCGCATCTACATAGCTCTTGGGATGTGTCGTCACATTTTTCTTGCCCTGGTTCTCCAGCTGCGCACCATGGGACACATGGAAAGTCAATGAATCAGTCGCAATGTTCCTGTACACTTGTGTGACTGGAATTACAATAGATCATGTTGCAGAACGCTTCCAGCACTCACACACCACCATATCAGAGTAGGTTTGTTTTTATCTGGCTGATTGTAGCTCATGATTGAATGCTAGGCATTTTCGGAAAATTGTTGACATTCTATCTGGGCCAGAATTTTATTGGAAATATGTACACCTCCCCAAAGCGGACGCACCACCACCATCGGCCATCCGGAACAACCCAAAGTGGTGGCCCTATTTTCGAAATGTGCTTGGTGCCATCGATGGCACCCACATTAATTGTTCTCCATCTGCCGCTGACCTGCATGCTGCACGGAACCACAAGGGTGGTGTAACACAGAACTGTCTTGCCGCTGTGTCTTTTGACATGTGCTTCCTGTTCTTTACAAGCGGATGGGACGGATGCACTGCAGACTCAGCCATGTATGCATCAGCTCGGTTGAAAAACTTTTTCATTCCGGAGGGCAAACACTACCTTGCCGATGCCGGGTTTGGAATATGCGAAGCCCTCCTTGTTCCATTTCGATCAACCCGCTATCATCTTGCCGAGTGGGCAAGGGCAAATTTGCGGTACGTTTCTGATTGTTCGTTGGTCTTTTTCTGACTCAGGACAGGCCTGCAAGTTTCAAAGAGCTCTACAATCTGCGCCATGCCTCTGCCCGAAATGTTGTTGAGCGGATATTTGGTGTCATCAAGCACCGATGGTTGATTCTCACGCGTCCACCACACTACAACATGAAAATTCAAGCCAAAATCCCATCAGCTCTTGTTGCGCTGCACAACTTCATTTTGGAACACGATGAGACAGATCTCGACCGCTGGATCATCGACGAACAGGCACAGGATGACAATCATGGTTTTCGTCGGAATCAAGAAATCGATTTTGGACGCCTTGCTTCCACTGCCCGTGTGTCTCCTGCAGAGAAGCAACGGGCTGAAGAAATACGTGATGAAATGGCACACGCTATGTGGGACGGCTATGTGCAATATCTTTCGGAGAGAATGGATGTGGACAACAACTATTATGGTGACTTTGAACCAGAAACATTGGATTAGGGGATTAAAACAGAGCTGTAGTTGAATAATTCTAGTAGTAGTTGAAGAGAATCGAGCTGTAGCAAGGAATCTAGTGCTAGTAAAGGAAAACTAGTGGAAGTTGAAGTTTGGCGTAGGGTTCAATTGGTTCAGCAGCTCCCGCCCAGTCTCTGCGCGGAGGAAAGGATCATTATCCGAGATGTACGCATCTGCCGCTGACGTATCACGTCTGAACAAAATGTTGAGCCAGGTGCGCTCATCCGACATGATGTATCCACCGTGCATATCCTTCAGGGCCAGCTTGCTGGCCGTCTCAACCTTCTTCGTGGGTGACATGGCAGAAGACTTCAGCGGCGGCGTGAAGACGGTGCTGATGACCTTGCCAATGCCATCGACAGAGCAACCGAGTGCGAGAATCAACTCCGGACCCGTGGTTTTACTGCATTTGCTGCTCCATGGAGGTTCAATGTCATCGGGGGCAGAGCGTTTCGAGCCTGTGGACGGAGTGCGGGAGTGGATAGAGGCAGGGGCCCGAGGCGCGGTCGATTGGGAGGCTGGGACCGAGTTGGTGGGTCAGGGGACTGGGATTCACCAAAGTTGGACTGCGACCAGTCTGAGAATGGCTGCGAGCTGTCCTCATCATCGTCATTGCCCTGCGAGGGTTCCTGGGATGGCTGAGAGGGCACGACGGCAGGGTCGGCAGTTCCCAGGCTGAATACATATTGTCCGAGAGCACACGAAGGCACAATCACGTCGACTATTATGAAGTGAGGCCAGCCACGTGTCGCAAAAGGCTTGAAATGCGAGTGGGCCTTCACAAAGTTGGACCACGCGTCCCGGGTGTCATTTGTGACATTAAGGCCCAAATCGTCGCTGTACGTCCAACCTGACACGCCCGGATACGCCTTCTACTTGGCTTGCAAGATCTGGTCGTAAAGTTTACGCGTCTGTGATGAAAGCTGTCATTCGTGAGACTGTCGACGTGTACGGAGACGTACCCCCTTCCATTTGGTCGCAATTGAGTTAGCCGTCTTAGGCCCACCCTTTTTGGGAGGCCAGTTGCTGGCCATATGAGCCGCAGCTTCGTTCATGACCGTTTTGTCCCAATTCCCACCATCACCGATGCGGCTCCATTGCTCGTACAGGAAGTCAAGGAGGTGGGTGAGGTCCTCGGGGTATGTTTCCCAGTCAGCAGACCCCTTGCCCGGGGCCATTCCGAGCCCAGGGATGTACAGAAAGACGAGAAAAAAGCGTAGTAACACTGAAGTAACAGTACTATCACAGATATTGTCACCCCATCAAATCCAAATCCAAATCCGCTGCCGGAGTAACTCTAAGGGCAGAGGAGCAGACAACAGAGCCCTCCAAGCGCAGCCTTTATTTCAGATGTGAGTGCGAGTATCATCATCAAAAGCTTTTCTATATATTTTGTGTCGGACAGCCCAGTAAATGTAAGCTCGGGTCGTCGGATACGACGCCATCGCACATCAGTAAAACTACACTTTCGTCTTTGATGTCTTTGACGTCTTCGGAAAGACGTGAAAGACGCGAAAGATGTATTTTGGGCCAAGACATGGCATCTTTGGAAAGTAGATTCCCTTTTCCTGCCAAAGATGCATGTATCTTTCCAAGACCTCCCAAGATGCTATCAAAGCCTCATCTCAAGATAGTTATAATAGTTCAAAGTCCTTTAAAGATGCGTGCAAATAATAAATATATTTGGAAATGCATTACAATACAACGGTAGTAAAAACAAGGGGGTAACCAGTCTCGACACGCGGCCATGTATGCTGCTGTCCGCATTGGACGTGCGCTGAGACCGACCCCGGAGCGGCACTACACATGCCGCTCTCGAGGTTGAGCATAGACAACGTGCATCGGATCCTGGATGGAGTTGCGCCTGGTATGTAGGGACACTTGATATAAGTACCATCAATGACGCGGCAGGCACTCACCGGCGGTGAGAAAAAAAAAAGGTATGCGGCGTACCAAGGAGGTCAAGGGAAAGGAGCAGCGCTGATAGACAGGAAACAAACAGGAGATAGAATTGGGCTTGCTTGAGGCAGGCACATGAAGCAACTTGAAGCAGCTTGGGGCGATTGGAGGGGATTCGGTTTGAGGCGGCTCCGGGTAATCTTGAGAGTCCAGACCAGGCTTAGGGCTTAGAAGTGCTTGAGAATTGATGCAGGCAAAGTTGCTGAGGCGCGGGGACGGGAGCAGCGAGGGCCGGGCAGGTGAACGAGAGGAAAGAAGAGGGAGAAAGAAAGAGACGAAGTGACAGGTAACCATCAACCAGTTGATGCGATCATGATGCGCACGGACCTTCGGCGGAGTTTGAATGACTTGGTCCGAACTCTCATCAACCGATCCAAGTGGCGCGTTCGTTATCCGCGCCTCGGCGAGTGCAGCACCCGCTGTACTAATTGATGCAATCTGAATGACTTGAAAGCAGCTTATATCGAAATTTTATTCCCGTCGCGCGGTGAAGAGACTTATTGGCGTCATGAAATAGATGCCAGTGGGGTCGGAACTGCGAGCCTTTCCAACGCTCAAGTTCGCACTTGGTTTGTTGATGCTAGTGTTTTGTGTATATTAAAAGTTCCATCCAACTGAATAATTTGAGCATTTCCAAAGACTACATGTAACTCCGAGTCGGCAAGACATAAGATGAACTGCGAAAGATAAATGACAGCAAAGATGCCATTCCAAAGACGTAAGATGGCTCACGAAAGACAAAGACGTCGAAAGACATCATCGAAAGATGTAAGATGCCAAAGACGAATCTGTAGTTTTACTGATGCATCTGCCCAAGCTGTTTACGACAAGCATTTCGGGGCAAAAATGGTGGCTTGAACTTTAGAACAACAGTCCAACTTGAAGTGGAGAAACTAGAGGACAACTGAGAAGAGCTGGGAAAGTTTGGAAGCGATATGCACATCGTATTCAGGTATAGCTTTCACACAATTCATCCAGTTGATGGTATTTGTCATGTGGTTGAATTTTCGGAATTCCACAAGATGCAACTCTTATTCAATTTGCCTCAAACCTAGCCAAGAAAAAGGTAGATTTCTCGGATGGTTGTAGGGGCAAATATTGCCGGGATCGCCTACTAAATCTGCTCATTCTCGACCAAAACAAAACAGAATATCCTGATTCTTTCCACAAATCACTAGCCAGGAAGCTCCCTGTCAACATGAGTGTCAAAAAAAGTTACTGGATTTGTCTGGACGTCATGAAATCCCGCTCCGCGCTATGGTTGAATTTTCGTGTTCAGTTTTTCTTGGAGATTGCCTTTCTCCCTCTATACTCTTTATCTATAATTCTAAACATGTCCGAATTGGTGTAGGGGTCAACATTGCCGCTTCTCATGAAAGTTTGCTTATGTAAACTCGCTTCGGTCGCGGCAGCCCGGGGTTCGATTCCCCGATTCGGAATCCTTTTTGCCCTTTCATTTCTTTCGCCTCTTTACTGCTTAGTACTTACTAGCCTCATCCCTCGCTTGGCTTTGCGGCTCTGGAACTATGTAAAAAATACATCTCTTGATTTCGCAGGCACCAATGACCGTTGAAATTTAAAGGAACCAACAGTCTTCGCCTGTCCGCGGTCCAACAATGCAATGAGATCAATAGCGTGGAGGATGTAAATTCATTAGTCGTGAGGTCGTTATAGTATGTACGGGAAATGCAGGGTCTAAAACAGATCTATGTACGGTGATGGAAGTAAAAGTCAATAAGTCAGTGTAAGTGTGTCAATGAATAAGGTTATGTAGTATTGCGGGAGACAAGTCAAGGTATGAATCATGGGGGAATTAAATGTATGGCGAAAGAAATGAGACATACAGGAACCATAAATGAGGCGGACAAACGCGACGGCCGTGATCATGCTGCAGCTTGGCCCTGGTATTTCTTGATCAGATCGCGCAGCTTCGCCTGCCCGAACACCAGCTGCTCTCCTGGCTTGGACGCAGAGGAGGATGCAGGCGCTTTCGCGGGTATTGATGACATGGACGCCTGCACACGGCCCTTCAAGCCCCAGACGACCTCGTTCGCGGACTCTGCAATCGCCAGCGTGGGCTTCGGTGGCACGCATGGCTTGGGCGCCAGGCGCACAAGCGACGGGGTCTGGTAAAAATGGCGCGACAGGCGCGCACTGACGCGCACCGGTGCGGCATCGACGCGGACCGACGCGCTGGTGGCTGTGTCATTGACGCGCATCGGCGCGCCGCCTCTAGTTCATCACCTAATGTCCTTTTGCTTTCGAATTAATGCCGGGCAATGTTTTAGACACTAAATGCATCGGATAGGATCCAGAAATCCAACCCTCAAATGCTCCAACCCGAGGCTCAGTTATGGCTAGTCCTCAGTGGAATTCCGAATTTCTCGCCGGTGCGCAGCCGAAAATTCATAGATTAAGTCATTTATAGCCTAATTCATTAAGTCCCTAACCCATCCAGTGCCCGGATATGATTGGGGACTTGTTGAACATATATGGGGAACAACCATGCCGGTTGGGGATTCAAGTTGGCTTTGTACAGTTCTACCAGCAAACACTGCCCATTATTCTCAAATGCAAGTATTTAAAGATCCGTCCTGAACGTGGTGTACTCTGCTCGCTAACTTCGCAGCTAGGAATGTGCGAGTCTGCGAGATCACTTCTGCACTGATACACCCACCTTCTCTCGCTCTGAGGCATACATGACATATTCATTGGATTGCTGGAGACCTTGCCCTGCAGTGAAGAACCGAGGTAAAATGAGGTGAGCAGCTTGCAGCGCGTTGGACGAGTGCAGCATCAGCGCGGACTGGCGCGAGGGTGGCTGTGTCATTGACGCGCATTGGTGCGCCACCTGCAATTCGTTACTCTATACCCCCCTGGCCTGGAACTCATGACAGGAGATGTTTAAAACATTAAATACATTGTCTAGAGTACAAAAAATCCTCCCTCACAGGCCTTACCCGGAACTTCAATTATGCTTAGTCCTATGTGGAATTTCGGATTTCTTGCCGGTGCGGGGCCAAAATTTCGGGGAAAAGATACAGATCCAATGCAATACATGCAACGTACATGAAAATTCATGTTCGTATCCAACACAACGAGTGCACAGCTGAGATAAGGAAAACAACGGGGAAATAATCACCCATGCAGGTCGGGCGTTGACGTGATTCAGTGTTAGCCGAAAATTATGCGACAGCATTGTGTTGATGTCAGTCTCTTATGATAGTGTGGTTCTACTCAAGTACTAACCTGTGGTCTATTACTAATTTGCGAGACTTCTGCGGTAATATGCAGCATTTTCTCCTCGTCTTGGACAGAACATCATGATATACTTGTTGGCATTTGGGAAACATCCAGCTATCAGAACTCGATTCAATGGCTCCGATAAGGACCTTGTGTCTGGCGAAAATGACATGACACACGCGTTGCACTGGTGCAGCAGAATTTCATAGTTACAATGCGGTTTTACTCTCAACTTTTATTTCAAGCTTCGGTATGATTTGTGGTTTCGACTTCCTGTGTTCAATGCTATTTTCCCTGGTTCACGGACAATGTGTTGATTTTACATGGAGTCCGGGGGTGAGGGGGACACAATAAGCCACTAAAGGTGACGCGCCAACTGCATATTAATAGTGCAACTGCCGGCGCGATTGTCTGCGGCAACGCCGACATCGCACGAGTTCAATGTTCAACCAGGCCTCACCCCATATCAAGTTTGTGTACTTATTTCCCTCCATACAATTCTAGCCTGGCTCTATTAAATTTACAACCATCCCTCGGTCCTCTCTTGGATATCGCCGGTTTTCTCCTCTCGTCGCTCGTAAAGTGGCCTCGGCCATGTCAACATCGGTCAGCGAGCCCTTGTAATCCGGTGCACACTGCGATGATGGACACCCGAATTAAAATCCATTGCAGTGCCGAATTAAAGTGACTGACCTATAGTTCCGAGCTGCTCTCATCATGACCACCATGATTCCAATGGGATGGTATATCTCCAACCATCTTGATGAGGGCCGTCATTCAAACCCCACTGTTCATTTCCGACTCGCCCTGCTTGACAGCAACTTTCAACTAGTCGTTCTTCCAATGAAGCGCACGAATATTGCAACCTGCCGGTCTGTATCGGAACATGTTGGATTCATCTGAATTTCCCGCAGTAGCTGGTCCTGGTGGCGAAATGCGATCAGAATGATATATGCGTGGCCCACCGAATCCCGATACACAATTGAACAACCAGTTTGCCACTTTAGCACTCGAGACTCTGCAATTCTTCTGTGGATCCCACTCCTCCAGTCCCTTTGCCTTTCACATTATTCTGTTCCCTCGATAATTGTGCTACTGTTGGAGAGGAACAGTTATTCATCCGAATGCAGAGCTTGCAAGATACTCAAAATGGGGCCTCCGGGCTTGTTCAATTTCCTGTGCCCGGAACTCGACCAGGAGATCATCTTCCTCTGCGAGTTCCACAGTCGAATTTCAAATTTCCGAGCTGTGAATACAACACACGAGGTACGAGTGGATATTGTTGTAGTGTCTTTTTATAAGAGACTAAGCTGTGAAGGGCTTCATTAGGGATGCAGAGGGTCTCAAATTGAAGGAAATACTCAACCTTGCCTCTGAGCAGTCGCATTGGCAGTTCATCTCGTAGGTCGGGCTTGGGGAGCTTGTTGAGTGGCGGAATACTCTGAGCATATTGATTTCCACGCCTCTATTTCAGTGTTACTCCGAATACGGATAAAACACCCGAAATTATATCCTTCATGTACCTCAAAGTTCCAACTGGCTGCTCAGTTGCCAGTGAGTCAATGAAGGAGCAATAGCACTCAAGAAGATGTGAACAAGTGCTCAATGCAGTAGCGGGGACCGTCGCACAGTGACGCGGGGCTGGCGCGCACTGGCGCGGGGTTGACGCGCATTGACGCGGGGTTGACGCGCATTTGCGCGACACTGACGCGCATTGACGCGACACTGACGCGCTACCGGCGCGCATTGACGCGGAAGTTGACGCGGTTTGGCGCGGCAATTGCGATTTAATGGTGTAGTTTCAGCAGCTCAAAGAATTCAAAGAATGTTCAAATCCACGCCCCGGGTAGCCTGCCACCAAGCAGAACACGTAGTAGGTTTGTACACATCCAAGTACCACTAGTTAGACCTCAAAATAATACATGTTGCCTGCAGCCTAGGCCAAGTCGTCCTTATCAAAGCCCAGGTATCTTGCCAAGAGTGATTTGAACAGTGTCCGAGTGTAGAAAGCACTTGGTAGAAGTCGAGTAATTGCCGCGTCAATGCCGCGCCGGTGCCGCGTCAGTGCGCGTCAGTGCGCGCCGCTCGCGTCATTTTCTCCGGACCCCAAGCGACGCCGTTGTCGAAAGCGTCGGCCGCGCGTGCGACGACGGGACGACCGCCGGCACGCTCGCAGATTTGATTATCGGCCGCGCAAACTTGTCTGCCGTCCTTGCTGCGGGCACAGGTGCTGCTTCCGCGGTCTTGTTTACCACGGGCGTCGCCGATGTAGAGCAGGGAACGGGCTTGGACCGCAAGAAGTCTGCTGCGGTGGCGGGCTTCGGGGATGTGACGGGCTTCGGGGCGTAACTCCTTGGTCGCGGCAGCCCGGGGTTCGATTCCCCGATTCGGAATTTCTCTTTTGCTACTCCCCACTCCATTCTTTTGCTGTTATCTTCATTCCCTTAATATCCAGTCTACATATGTAGCCGACTCAACAGTTTGAATTTCAAAGTTCAGAATTCTCTACGACTAATACAGCCATCCAATCCAGACATCCCGAATGTTCATCCAAAGGCTCTTAGGCATACGGTGGCTCCTAGAAAAAGTAGAGGTGTTTTTTTAAAAAAAATGGCGCGCTCCCCGCAGGTACTGTACTAGCAGAAGTCGACTCGGTTGAGCCCGAAGTTGAACTTTGTTGTGGTCTGTTTGCCATCGGTTCAAATTCTTCCTTTGAAGCGAGTTGTCTGCATCTTGAGCTCTGCGTGTCAGACAGTTACGGAAAAATTGAATGTCCCACCTCTCCGACATTATGACTCAGTGGGTTCGCAAAGCATAGTTCGCACATTTACACGGTACGCCGTTACATGTATGACTGCACACCCCTCTAACCGTTCGTGTTTAATTGAACTTCAAAACTCTCATGCACTTCCGAAACCCTCAACGTGCAGCGAAACACTCGGTCCGCCGCGCAATATGTCCCCGAACCGAGAAATTCCATTCCGAAGGGCATTGCGTACACTCTGTGCGAGTTCTGTCGTCCCGCATACTGCAAATGAAGTTGAGGCGGGTGAGTTGTGAGAGACATGCACATACCATTTATACTGACAGCTCCGCGAGTCCCGTCTATCTCTGACCCTAGAATCTTCGGAATGTCTGGACGGCACTGTACAAGCGTCACGCCCGGAAGTGAGAGCAAGTGTTGTTTCGTCGTTGA